GGGAAAGATAAAATGAATGAGGGGCCATAAAATGCTCTCATGGAGACTATGAAAATTGAGATTGTCATCACCAAGAGACTTTGTGTGCTAAAAGATGAGAGTGGCAATGTCACAATCATTACTACTATCAAGAATATTAATTGCATTTGTAGATTGTCCGTTGTGTGAGAGCCATGTGTGCTTACTTATGAATTAAATGTGATTTGAGTTTAAGTCATTTTTTTAAATATTAAAAATTTAAATATTTTACTTTTTAATATTTTAAAAATATTTTTATAAAAATTCAAAGTATGAACACTATAATTTTATCATTTCAATTATTTCGTTAAAAAATAAGAATAATCTAAAGGATTCATGTTTGAAAGATTTATTTATTGAGACTTCAATGTCAAAGGTGATATGAAATGCCGTCTATCTCATGGTTTAGCGTTTAGCATTCAGGCCCACTTGGAGGTTAGAAAATGGGTCTATTGATAATATAAATAACCAACTTGTAGGATAATAATTTGGGAAAAACTTTTCATAGGCTATATTTTTTTAGTTTTTTTTAAGACAAATAAATTCATGTACTTCATATAGGCAGCGTTTAGCTACAAGAAGGATTTAGCATTAATATGATTTAGGTTGTAGATCAAATTTACGTTTAATAAGATTTATGTAATCCGATAAATCCAGATTACACAAACGATGGGAGAAGCTCGTGCGAAGACGAAATAAATCCGTCTTGGGATCAGATGTACAAAATACAGAACGTGAGAAAAAAACAATAGAACATGATGAAATTCATTTTAATGATGTGTTTGAATTATTTTTCATTTTTTCGATGTTTAGCTATATTTAAGTTAAATTCATGACTAAATCCGATAATAAGCAGGTTACAAAACACCCTCTTAATTAATCCAATTTATTAAATCCTTATTTGCTGATTTATTAAATTCAAATTTAAGATGAATCAAGACAAAATAATCTTAAATCTGAATTTCTAATTGCATTACACTTTTAATATATGCATAAAACTCACATTTTTAATATTCAACTGAATTTCCTAAATCCATTACATAAATCCTATTAATATGGTCGTACCAAACACCCATAAAAACTTAAACGTTTTAATTAAAAGATAAAATTCTCAGCGGCCTCGAGTTGCCTGCATTTTTTTCCTGTCGAGTTCTTTCAAAAATAAACTTCACCGGTCGAAGTTCTTTACCCGAAACTCGGGTAG